AGTGAAGAGTCCCCAGACCTGACTAGCCCCACGGGTGCCCCGCTGCTCTGGATGCCTTGGGAATTCTCTGGGCATGCGGCACACACCCAGCACAGAAGATTCAGCAGTAAAATCAGAGTGTGAGGCTGAACGTCTGTAACCTCTCATGCTCCTGAAGGATGTCCTGTCTCCAAACTGCTCCATGGCCTGGACCTGTGGAAAAGCAGAATTAAAACCACGGTGTCCTTTACAGAGTCGGTGTACAATACCACCCTACCCAGGGCTCCAGCTTTCATTCTTTGCAAGAGAAAACAAGAGAGAAAACCTTCCCCTTCCCTTGGTGTCAGCAACCAGAGCTCAGAGCCCATGAAGGTCAGTCTGTAGGAAGGCCCCAGAGTACCTTGTTTCTTTGCCAAAGCAGAGGAGCAGCAAGCGAGAAACCTGTCTGCCTGGCACGATGTCGGTCCTGGCATCGGGTACGGTGGCACAGCAAGGAATTCTCCTAAAGCAGAGCTCAGGGCCGGGCCCTCAAGGTGACACTAAACCCCCAAGGGTCGTGGCTTTCATTAGCAAACAGAAGCATGTTCAGGTACCTGGCCATTTGCTTTGCTCCAGGTATTCCATTGCACCACAAAGTGGAATGGACGTTTCATACAGGGGCTCGAGGCTCACTGAGGATCTGTGGTATGCTTTGAGATCCTCTGCTGAAAGGTGCTACCTAAACACAAGTAATTTGATGCTGAAGTGTCTAAAATTCCCAGTGGACAACTGCACTCAAGCCCTGCTGCCACCACAAATGAAAAACATTTGGAATCCTTAATGTGATTTTTAATGGACATATGTTCATAACAGTGCCACCAATTTGGCATATTTAGTGTCTTCTCAAGAGAAGCCCACAGTTTGTATAGCAAGATTGTGGGAGGTTAGGATTGCAGTGTGAGCAAATTTGCACAACACCTGCCTGACTACAATTTAATTGGCAGAAGTTAATGCTCTGAGTTTTTTTTGTTTTGTTTTGTTTTGTTTTTAAGAGGCGCTAGGACTAATCCCACTCTGTTACACTGTCAATTTTAAGCTTTTATCGGGGCTTTACGCATGCTGCAATGAGATCATTTTCAGGCCTGCTGTCTTTCTGTAACCTGAAGTACTGCTGTTTTACTCTCACTGTTATTTCTGCATGTAAGGACTCTTACTTGGCCATTGCTAAGGACTCTTGAGGACTTTGTACTTCATTGAAGTACCAGTGTGCTTAGCATTGCTGAAGATTTTGCTAAATTTTAAGTACTTAATAATATACTTTGATAAGAAAACGGAGGACCAAAAATATTTCTGATGAGCTCTACTTGTGACACAGTACACCACCCGAAAGACAAACAGTGCTGCTGTCATTATTAACTGTCTTTAGTTTTAGCTTTCCTTACCGCCGAGCTCCTTCTAGAACAAACTTTTGCACCTCTTATCCCACCAGATTTTTGTTTTCCTTTTCAGGAATGCTTGGCCTTGCTGTGCATCAAGGACGGCCCCTATTACTTCACTATTTTCTTTCCTTTGCTTTTTACAAAACATAATAAAAGGCTTTGGAGAAGAGATAGGAGGATACAGTCCCAGGGGAAACGTTCCTGTGATCACCAGCCATGAGGACTCGTGAGAGTCTTCAGTACCACAGATGTTGAACACTACTCATTAATTTTCTTGATTTAAAGTGCCTCAACCTTAATTCAGGTTAGCAGATCCTGTGCTGCAGACTGAGGTTGACAACATACTGCACCTACAGAAAAAGCCCTGTCAGCATCAACCCGTACCAGAGTTTGGGAGCGTGAAAGGATCGTGTCCTCCGTCCTCAGACACGTTGCTGGGACTGGATACAAGTGGAGCAGCATGAAATGGCAGCAGGTTCTATTTGTCTGACCATATCTGTACGATCATGGTAAGACCTGTAGGTAAATCCATGTAGATGTATATGTAGCAGACTTCACACCTACTCATGGAGCAAGTATGCAGTCACCTTCTTGAGCAATTTTGTGCCTTGTCTTTGAGTATTAATTTAAAGATGGGTTAATGTTTTATGGCCCTGCAAACCCCAAGTAATTTAACAATTAAGATCATAAGGAGGGATTGACCGCTAAGACGCTTGCTGACCTGCCTCTTCTCTGAGCTTGTAGTGACAAAAATACCTGCTCAGCTTGCAAGAGCCTACCTAAAGTGAGCCATAATGAGAAGCTTCTCTCCTTCACTGCCGGCAACCCAACATTGAGAGTGGCATTGTCTGTATTTTTAGAATTGCATGGACAAAAATAAGGCTGTAGACATATATAGGGGGTATCCAGGCCTATCACTAGTGACTGCTGGACTTTATCCCTGGAACAGGCAGCTTCCCAAGGCAAATAAGCACACCTTGGACGAGCCTCCACTTCACAGCCAACTAGCAAGCGGCTGCCTGCAGAGCGCTGCAGCTGTGCCCGGCCTGGCTGACCCCCGTTCCCCGTTCCAGATACGCCTTGTACTCAACCTTTCCCACACACCAAGAAGTTATGACGCTTTGGGTTTCAAAGTCAAGCGAGACCAAAGTTTGGACAAACGGGTACATTTTCTGACTGCTTCAAACAGCAAACGCAGAGGCTAGGAATCACCGCTTCCAGCACTCATTAATCAGACCTGTTCAATGATTACCTCGTCTGGGCTGCGTTGTTGACAACTCTGCACGACGACAGTGTGTCTGTGGCAGCGTCCCAAGGCACCTTCAGTGGTGACGTCAAGGACAGGCCCCTCTCACCTCACTTGGTGGGCTGGGCACTTCCACAAAGACTATTTAAGAAAGGAGAATGCCTCCTTGGAAACCAATGATCACAAGACCATTCCTAGGCACGGGACATCGGATCAACTGAAAGGGACAGCAAAATTCTCTCCGAGATCTTCTAAAGAAGGTAAGTAAAATGGGGCCTATGTACTTTTTCCAGCTTTAAATTACCAATGATCTGAATTCTTTGTACTGATTTTAAACAGAGCATTGCAGGAAAGCACACTTAAGTTATAATGACATAATATGCTAATAGACAACATCTGATTATAGCTTCTAATCAGCATTTCAAATCTAGATCAATTGCAGGCTGCAGTAATGCCCCCAGAGTTGAAGACCGAGGTGAACATCACCCCCAAGGTTATCCAGGGGGACCTACAGAGCCTACCTCCAGAAGTGAAAGAGTTCATTGAAAGTCATGCCAAGCTGTGCCAGCCTGAGAGCATTCATATCTGCGATGGTTCTGAAGAAGAAAACCAAAAAATATTGGACATCATGGTGGAACAAGGCATGATCAAGAAGCTGAGCAAGTATGAGAACTGGTGAGTGGCATAAAATGAAGTCAAACAGAAGCTCAGGATAGTGATAAGCAAATTCTATCTGTTTGCATTTAAAAGTGTTCAAAAACCCTTTAATATTTACTTTGCATGAGCAATTTAGAACTGTTGCTTGCATAGGTTAATAATCAGGAAGAGCATAATTTTCTCCTCAAAATTAACTTAAACTACCCAGATCAATGGGACTACCAACTGTACATTGTCTCTATTGATTAGTTACATAAGTTGGATAACTGAAACAATATCATGAGACGTGGGTAACTAATCATTAGCAATGGTTAAACATTTTTTAGCAAATACATCTTTTGAAGAATTCTACTATTTCAGTCAATTAATTTATTCATCAAATACTTTTCTGTGGCATTCAAATAGCTCTGTGGGTGTTCAAATATTCTTCAGCAGAGGCATTATTCATATTGTGCCAATAGGTTTGGAATGTAATGTATTCAGCAGATACTTTTTTCAAATATTCCTTCATCTCTCCCAACTCACCCAACATGAAAGGAGAATATTAACGAGTATTTGCTTGGGAATTACATGCTGACCAAGAAAACTTCATGGAAGAAATCTGCAAAGAACTCAGAAGTGCAAGAATTTGGCAATCTGTTTGCAGACTATTTGGGAGAGAAAAGGGCAAAATTCACCAGATAAATTATTCATTGTTAATTATATGCTTAGCTGTAGTGATGATGGTTATGACAGCCCAACTAGAACATTTTTATCTTCATAGAAAATTTCTATTTCTATGAGGTGCAAATGGTAAAGCAATCCTCTCTATTGTAAATAAACGATAAATACATTCATTGAAGGAAGAAAATATAATCCTGTCTAATAAACTAGCTTCACTTTTAATGATATTTCTTTTGTGGTGTCTTTAACTTAAAGGACAATGTCAATCCACTAGCTTGGATTCTGGTCCCACAGACCTATATACCAACATTTAAAGTACTGGCTTAGAATCCATGCTGCTAAAGGCATCATTTTGTGGCCCCTACGTAAAAATATTTTTCTTATCTGTACTGATGAAAATAAGAATTAAATGAGTTTGGCTTTTCCCTGCATGCAAGCAACAGGAATAAAGCTGATGGAGGAGGCAGAGTATTAAGCAGTAATGAGAATTTCCCAAGCCATATTATTTGGTATTCATTCTGCAGTGTCTTTAGGTACATTCTTTTATATAAAGTATTTGACTAATTTCTGAGGTTGTCTCAGGTGTATTGATTCTGTCAATTCAGTTTTACTGTTACAAAACATTTTATCCTTTTCTGTTAAAGGGTTCCTTCCTATAGAAGGGTTAAAAAATGTTACACTTGTTTTTTTAAATGATTTAAGCCTAATTTTACCATTTTTACCATTTACCATTTTTACAGCTGGTTGGCTCTCACTGATCCAAGAGATGTGGCAAGAATTGAGAGCAAAACTGTCATTATCACACAAGAGCAGAGAGATACAATTCCAATCCCTAAAGCTGGCCCTAGTCAGCTGGGCCGCTGGATGTCAGAGGAAGATTTTGAGAAAGCCTTCAATATCAGATTCCCAGGTTGCATGCAAGGTGGGTGAGAAAAAGAATGTTGACATTGCACTCGAGGTGCAGAAACACTCCTATTAATTATTGCAATCTTTAATTTAAAATATTTTAGCTGAAGGTTTAAGTGGGTATTCCTGATATTAGTCATGTTTAGGTTTCTTCTGGGTCTTTACCAGAGTCTCCCTAGCACAAGGTTCATTCTGTGCATAAAGAGAGACAAAGCAAGGTAGGAAAGGTTGGGTGACTTTAAGAAGTCACAGAGCAACTGAGCAGTATAGAAGAAATCGAAGTAGGAATTGAAGTAAGACCTCCACCCCCAGCACAAATTTCTTCAGGGCAGGACCCAGCATTTTATGGCACCAGCTCATTTGGCCTCCACCCATCTTTCCTACTCACTAGACAATTTGTCTGAACAGCTGTTCTCCGCACTCAAGATAAAGCTGCTGCATGATTAGACAGTTACAGATCTCTAAACACTATCAGAAATGACCAGAAGACCAATAGCTGTTAAATAAGTGAGAAATCATTTCCATGTGAATAAATATTATTTTAAACGTTCCTTATTTTACTGCTTGCAAGATCACATTCTCATCTCTGTTTTACAGGACGTACTATGTATGTCATCCCCTTTAGCATGGGGCCTATTGGGTCTCCTTTGTCCAAGATTGGAATTGAACTGACGGATTCACCATATGTAGTGGCCAGCATGAGGATCATGACACGAATGGGAACAGCTGCTTTGAAAGCTCTGGGCAATGGGGAGTTTGTAAAATGCCTTCACTCAGTTGGATGCCCTCTGCCACTAAAAGGTTGGTAAAATTAAAAACTGTCACCTCTGGAAATACTCAGAGATACATTTTGGAGTTGACTGTGTGTTCTCAGCACATGGTAAATTCCCCCTAGGAAACCGTAATGTTGTGTGTAACAACACAAGGTTCCAATCTCAATTAAAGGAATCAAAGCTCAATGAGAATTGCATGGAAAGAGATTATTATCCCCAGTCCTTACCAGGGGGTTTCCTTGGAAGCATCTGGTGCAGGCTGCTGTCAGAGGCTTGATGCTGATGAAACACCACAGTCTGATCCAGCATGGAAATTGCTGTATTCATGAGTACAACACTCTGTTTTGCAGAACCGCTAATCAACAACTGGCCGTGCAACCCCGAGTTAACGCTGATTGCTCATCTCCCCGATCGCAGAGAGATCATCTCGTTTGGCAGCGGCTACGGAGGAAACTCCTTACTGGGGAAAAAGTGCTTTGCTCTCAGAATTGCCAGCAGAATCGCCAAGGAAGAAGGCTGGTTAGCTGAGCACATGCTGGTAAGGGCTATTAAATCATGCGTTTGAACCTCTGTTAAACCCCAAATTAGCTCAACATAAATCCATCACATCTTGATAGCAATGAAATGGCAATCTCACATGGACAGTCGTAACAGGAGATAGGCATTTATCACACGGTAGCCTTATAAGGGTAAAGGAAATTGCTTGCAAAGGTTAAGTAGTAGCCATTTTTAAGTAGCACCTATAAAAAAGGGTACGAAGAAAGATTTAAAACACATTGCGACAATGACTGCGTGTAGATAGATGCTTGTAAGAGTGTAAACATCATCACTGGGCAACCATTTTGCACTTACAAATCTAATTGCTGCAAAGGGTCAATGCAAGTTTTGAAAACTTTTTCATATTCTAAAGAAGTTTATACAATCAAAAACAAATACTAATTGGATTTTTTAAGAAGTTTTGCTTTGTATCCTTCCTGCCTTTACTTTCTACTATCGTTTAAATGTTCTACTAAAGATTTTCCAAAACACCTAACAGAACCATCTTGGAAAACAGTTTATATGTATTTTGTAAAATCACAAGTATTCGTAGAGGAAGCAATTTCACTCTGCTCCGGTCTTGCATTCAGAAAATTACCTGGTTCTCTTCTAAGCTGAGACACACAGCTGTGTGCAGCTTGGATCTCATTAACTGGCAAAATAAAAATGAATGTTTGAAAGATCTATACACCTGACATTTAGAAAAAATGCAAGTACTCCTTCAAAGGGCAAGAAGAGTGGACTTTTTGATGAGTTGGCAACTATTATATTCAAACTGCAGTACTGTGCTTCTCTTGCAGCAAGCAATTTGCATAATTGTTTTATCATTATTTTTTGGAATCATCAGACAGAAAAATACAGAAAGAACAAACTACATTTAACAGCTGCACTTATTTTTCAATAGATCCTGGGCATTACAAATCCAGAGGGTGAAAAGAAGTATTTCGCTGCAGCATTCCCTAGTGCATGTGGAAAGACAAACTTGGCCATGATGAACCCAAGCCTGCCAGGATGGAAGATCGAGTGCGTGGGGGATGACATTGCCTGGATGAAGTTTGATGAACAAGGTCTGGAACTGAGGCTGAGTCATGGCAGGGTCCAGGACTGTTGCTTTAAGAGCAGCAAGATATGGTACCTAGTTTTAGAGAGTACTGAAAGTTTCCTTTGCTTATATTTTACCTTTTAGGCAATTTAAGGGCAATAAATCCAGAAAATGGCTTTTTTGGTGTTGCTCCTGGAACTTCAATCAAAACAAACCCCAACGCCATTAAAACCATATTCAAAAACACCATCTTTACCAATGTAGCCGAAACCAGCGATGGAGGTGTCTACTGGGAAGGCATGGATGAGCCATTACCAGCAGGAGTGACCCTGACTTCCTGGAAGAACAAGGACTGGACTCCAGATAACGGTAACCCAGTCCCACCTGCAGTCCCTCTCCCACCTCTCTGCTGAATCGGTGTTAATTCTGCCCTCACCATCCGTACGTTTTAATCTGCACAGGGGAACCTTGTGCTCATCCCAACTCACGATTCTGCACCCCAGCCGGGCAGTGCCCCATCATAGACCCTGCATGGGAGTCACCAGAAGGGGTGCCCATCGAAGCCATCATATTTGGAGGCCGCAGACCTACAGGTAAGAGATGAAGCATCCAGGTTTCAGGGCTCAAGTGCTTGAATCCCGTAGAAAAATTGAGGCACAAGTACATTTAAACACAGGTTTTGCTCTCATGGGCAAAAATACAAGAAAATAATCTAGCTTCTTCCACATATTACCCTTTGATACTCACACTGATATTTCAATGTCCAAATTGTTGGACACCTTATTGCAAAACAGGTAATATAAAACTGAAGAGAGAATGGGACCCACTAACGTAGGTGGTGTTTGGACATGTACCAATCTACTATACAACCCTTCTAATCCTCACAGTCTAACTAGCTTGGACAGAAAATAGAGAAACAAACTGATTATAAACAATTTACAAACAAGGAAATAAAATTATTTGGTTTGCTAAAGGTCAACCAAAGCTGGAAAACAAATAGGAGTATGTTAGGTCTGAGTCTAATATCACAACCACACAAACAGATGCTGTTTCCAGAAAATCTGTGGAAGGTTGAGGTTTCATATCTCCAGCTGAACATCTAAACATGTATTTGCTAGCTAATTAGAAGACAGCATTCCTGTAAACTTTGTAATAGGAGGGCAGGAAAGCCACTGAGTAAAAAAAACCAATGATCACAAGACCATTCCTAGGCACGGGACATCGGATCAACTGAAAGGGACAGCAAAATTCTCTCCGAGATCTTCTAAAGAAGGTAAGTAAAATGGGGCCTATGTACTTTTTCCAGCTTTAAATTACCAATGATCTGAATTCTTTGTACTGATTTTAAACAGAGCATTGCAGGAAAGCACACTTAAGTTATAATGACATAATATGCTAATAGACAACATCTGATTATAGCTTCTAATCAGCATTTCAAATCTAGATCAATTGCAGGCTGCAGTAATGCCCCCAGAGTTGAAGACCGAGGTGAACATCACCCCCAAGGTTATCCAGGGGGACCTACAGAGCCTACCTCCAGAAGTGAAAGAGTTCATTGAAAGTCATGCCAAGCTGTGCCAGCCTGAGAGCATTCATATCTGCGATGGTTCTGAAGAAGAAAACCAAAAAATATTGGACATCATGGTGGAACAAGGCATGATCAAGAAGCTGAGCAAGTATGAGAACTGGTGAGTGGCATAAAATGAAGTCAAACAGAAGCTCAGGATAGTGATAAGCAAATTCTATCTGTTTGCATTTAAAAGTGTTCAAAAACCCTTTAATATTTACTTTGCATGAGCAATTTAGAACTGTTGCTTGCATAGGTTAATAATCAGGAAGAGCATAATTTTCTCCTCAAAATTAACTTAAACTACCCAGATCAATGGGACTACCAACTGTACATTGTCTCTATTGATTAGTTACATAAGTTGGATAACTGAAACAATATCATGAGACGTGGGTAACTAATCATTAGCAATGGTTAAACATTTTTTAGCAAATACATCTTTTGAAGAATTCTACTATTTCAGTCAATTAATTTATTCATCAAATACTTTTCTGTGGCATTCAAATAGCTCTGTGGGTGTTCAAATATTCTTCAGCAGAGGCATTATTCATATTGTGCCAATAGGTTTGGAATGTAATGTATTCAGCAGATACTTTTTTCAAATATTCCTTCATCTCTCCCAACTCACCCAACATGAAAGGAGAATATTAACGAGTATTTGCTTGGGAATTACATGCTGACCAAGAAAACTTCATGGAAGAAATCTGCAAAGAACTCAGAAGTGCAAGAATTTGGCAATCTGTTTGCAGACTATTTGGGAGAGAAAAGGGCAAAATTCACCAGATAAATTATTCATTGTTAATTATATGCTTAGCTGTAGTGATGATGGTTATGACAGCCCAACTAGAACATTTTTATCTTCATAGAAAATTTCTATTTCTATGAGGTGCAAATGGTAAAGCAATCCTCTCTATTGTAAATAAACGATAAATACATTCATTGAAGGAAGAAAATATAATCCTGTCTAATAAACTAGCTTCACTTTTAATGATATTTCTTTTGTGGTGTCTTTAACTTAAAGGACAATGTCAATCCACTAGCTTGGATTCTGGTCCCACAGACCTATATACCAACATTTAAAGTACTGGCTTAGAATCCATGCTGCTAAAGGCATCATTTTGTGGCCCCTACGTAAAAATATTTTTCTTATCTGTACTGATGAAAATAAGAATTAAATGAGTTTGGCTTTTCCCTGCATGCAAGCAACAGGAATAAAGCTGATGGAGGAGGCAGAGTATTAAGCAGTAATGAGAATTTCCCAAGCCATATTATTTGGTATTCATTCTGCAGTGTCTTTAGGTACATTCTTTTATATAAAGTATTTGACTAATTTCTGAGGTTGTCTCAGGTGTATTGATTCTGTCAATTCAGTTTTACTGTTACAAAACATTTTATCCTTTTCTGTTAAAGGGTTCCTTCCTATAGAAGGGTTAAAAAATGTTACACTTGTTTTTTTAAATGATTTAAGCCTAATTTTACCATTTTTACCATTTACCATTTTTACAGCTGGTTGGCTCTCACTGATCCAAGAGATGTGGCAAGAATTGAGAGCAAAACTGTCATTATCACACAAGAGCAGAGAGATACAATTCCAATCCCTAAAGCTGGCCCTAGTCAGCTGGGCCGCTGGATGTCAGAGGAAGATTTTGAGAAAGCCTTCAATATCAGATTCCCAGGTTGCATGCAAGGTGGGTGAGAAAAAGAATGTTGACATTGCACTCGAGGTGCAGAAACACTCCTATTAATTATTGCAATCTTTAATTTAAAATATTTTAGCTGAAGGTTTAAGTGGGTATTCCTGATATTAGTCATGTTTAGGTTTCTTCTGGGTCTTTACCAGAGTCTCCCTAGCACAAGGTTCATTCTGTGCATAAAGAGAGACAAAGCAAGGTAGGAAAGGTTGGGTGACTTTAAGAAGTCACAGAGCAACTGAGCAGTATAGAAGAAATCGAAGTAGGAATTGAAGTAAGACCTCCACCCCCAGCACAAATTTCTTCAGGGCAGGACCCAGCATTTTATGGCACCAGCTCATTTGGCCTCCACCCATCTTTCCTACTCACTAGACAATTTGTCTGAACAGCTGTTCTCCGCACTCAAGATAAAGCTGCTGCATGATTAGACAGTTACAGATCTCTAAACACTATCAGAAATGACCAGAAGACCAATAGCTGTTAAATAAGTGAGAAATCATTTCCATGTGAATAAATATTATTTTAAACGTTCCTTATTTTACTGCTTGCAAGATCACATTCTCATCTCTGTTTTACAGGACGTACTATGTATGTCATCCCCTTTAGCATGGGGCCTATTGGGTCTCCTTTGTCCAAGATTGGAATTGAACTGACGGATTCACCATATGTAGTGGCCAGCATGAGGATCATGACACGAATGGGAACAGCTGCTTTGAAAGCTCTGGGCAATGGGGAGTTTGTAAAATGCCTTCACTCAGTTGGATGCCCTCTGCCACTAAAAGGTTGGTAAAATTAAAAACTGTCACCTCTGGAAATACTCAGAGATACATTTTGGAGTTGACTGTGTGTTCTCAGCACATGGTAAATTCCCCCTAGGAAACCGTAATGTTGTGTGTAACAACACAAGGTTCCAATCTCAATTAAAGGAATCAAAGCTCAATGAGAATTGCATGGAAAGAGATTATTATCCCCAGTCCTTACCAGGGGGTTTCCTTGGAAGCATCTGGTGCAGGCTGCTGTCAGAGGCTTGATGCTGATGAAACACCACAGTCTGATCCAGCATGGAAATTGCTGTATTCATGAGTACAACACTCTGTTTTGCAGAACCGCTAATCAACAACTGGCCGTGCAACCCCGAGTTAACGCTGATTGCTCATCTCCCCGATCGCAGAGAGATCATCTCGTTTGGCAGCGGCTAAGGAGGAAACTCCTTACTGGGGGAAAAGGGCTTTGCTCTCAGAATTGCCAGCAGAATCGCCAAGGAAGAAGGCTGGTTAGCTGAGCACATGCTGGTAAGGGCTATTAAATCATGCGTTTGAACCTCTGTTAAACCCCAAATTAGCTCAACATAAATCCATCACATCTTGATAGCAATGAAATGGCAATCTCACATGGACAGTCGTAACAGGAGATAGGCATTTATCACACGGTAGCCTTATAAGGGTAAAGGAAATTGCTTGCAAAGGTTAAGTAGTAGCCATTTTTAAGTAGCACCTATAAAAAAGGGTACGAAGAAAGATTTAAAACACATTGCGACAATGACTGCGTGTAGATAGATGCTTGTAAGAGTGTAAACATCATCACTGGGCAACCATTTTGCACTTACAAATCTAATTGCTGCAAAGGGTCAATGCAAGTTTTGAAAACTTTTTCATATTCTAAAGAAGTTTATACAATCAAAAACAAATACTAATTGGATTTTTTAAGAAGTTTTGCTTTGTATCCTTCCTGCCTTTACTTTCTACTATCGTTTAAATGTTCTACTAAAGATTTTCCAAAACACCTAACAGAACCATCTTGGAAAACAGTTTATATGTATTTTGTAAAATCACAAGTATTCGTAGAGGAAGCAATTTCACTCTGCTCCGGTCTTGCATTCAGAAAATTACCTGGTTCTCTTCTAAGCTGAGACACACAGCTGTGTGCAGCTTGGATCTCATTAACTGGCAAAATAAAAATGAATGTTTGAAAGATCTATACACCTGACATTTAGAAAAAATGCAAGTACTCCTTCAAAGGGCAAGAAGAGTGGACTTTTTGATGAGTTGGCAACTATTATATTCAAACTGCAGTACTGTGCTTCTCTTGCAGCAAGCAATTTGCATAATTGTTTTATCATTATTTTTTGGAATCATCAGACAGAAAAATACAGAAAGAACAAACTACATTTAACAGCTGCACTTATTTTTCAATAGATCCTGGGCATTACAAATCCAGAGGGTGAAAAGAAGTATTTCGCTGCAGCATTCCCTAGTGCATGTGGAAAGACAAACTTGGCCATGATGAACCCAAGCCTGCCAGGATGGAAGATCGAGTGCGTGGGGGATGACATTGCCTGGATGAAGTTTGATGAACAAGGTCTGGAACTGAGGCTGAGTCATGGCAGGGTCCAGGACTGTTGCTTTAAGAGCAGCAAGATATGGTACCTAGTTTTAGAGAGTACTGAAAGTTTCCTTTGCTTATATTTTACCTTTTAGGCAATTTAAGGGCAATAAATCCAGAAAATGGCTTTTTTGGTGTTGCTCCTGGAACTTCAATCAAAACAAACCCCAACGCCATTAAAACCATATTCAAAAACACCATCTTTACCAATGTAGCCGAAACCAGCGATGGAGGTGTCTACTGGGAAGGCATGGATGAGCCATTACCAGCAGGAGTGACCCTGACTTCCTGGAAGAACAAGGACTGGACTCCAGATAACGGTAACCCAGTCCCACCTGCAGTCCCTCTCCCACCTCTCTGCTGAATCGGTGTTAATTCTGCCCTCACCATCCGTACGTTTTAATCTGCACAGGGGAACCTTGTGCTCATCCCAACTCACGATTCTGCACCCCAGCCGGGCAGTGCCCCATCATAGACCCTGCATGGGAGTCACCAGAAGGGGTGCCCATCGAAGCCATCATATTTGGAGGCCGCAGACCTACAGGTAAGAGATGAAGCATCCAGGTTTCAGGGCTCAAGTGCTTGAATCCCGTAGAAAAATTGAGGCACAAGTACATTTAAACACAGGTTTTGCTCTCATGGGCAAAAATACAAGAAAATAATCTAGCTTCTTCCACATATTACCCTTTGATACTCACACTGATATTTCAATGTCCAAATTGTTGGACACCTTATTGCAAAACAGGTAATATAAAACTGAAGAGAGAATGGGACCCACTAACGTAGGTGGTGTTTGGACATGTACCAATCTACTATACAACCCTTCTAATCCTCACAGTCTAACTAGCTTGGACAGAAAATAGAGAAACAAACTGATTATAAACAATTTACAAACAAGGAAATAAAATTATTTGGTTTGCTAAAGGTCAACCAAAGCTGGAAAACAAATAGGAGTATGTTAGGTCTGAGTCTAATATCACAACCACACAAACAGATGCTGTTTCCAGAAAATCTGTGGAAGGTTGAGGTTTCATATGCACCATGCAAAAGCCTCTTCAAATGCTCCTGCACAGCTTGAGGGCAGTTATGCTGCTGTCATTGCTGTCAGAGACACTGATCACCCCTGCATTTGTTTTCCTACAAAAAAAAAAAAAAAAAGATGAGAAAAATTAAATTCTATAGTAATATGCATACAGCATCTCCAGTATCTCCAGTAACAAAAACTGTTATTAAAAAAGTCTTCTTGACCCCTAATTACAGAAGGGATTTTGTTCTTCACAGGTGTGCCTCTGGTGTATGAGGCCTTTAACTGGCAGCATGGGGTATTTATAGGAGCAGCTATGAGATCTGAAGCAACAGCAGCTGCAGAGCACAAAGGTAACTCCAAAGCTAATCTACCTTCCTGTATTAAAGGAATCTTCTCTGGAAAACCTGCTTTGGTCCCTCTACCCTCCCTTGAACATTTGTGTTTTGACAGATAATTTTGCATCTTCTGCATTTTCACACTAAATATTTACACTGGAATTAAACCCCAAATTCTCAGTAAAAGACAAATTAACCAAATAATCCCCCCTAGATGGCAAGCACAGAGAACAGGGGGCAGGCCTGGGGTGCCAGGGAGGCTTCGTGTGGAGCTTCCTAGCGCTGTCTTGGCTGAACGAACTTTCTGTTCTGCTGGTGCAACATAAATAAGGTGGTGGATGAAAGCTAAGTCTTCACCTTCTACATTTAAAACTACTTGACCCAAAATTAAGAATTTAATTTCCTCTGATTACAAATGAGCTCAATCTGTGCTTTTGTAGCTCAGGGATGATACATGTATGGCCTATTAAAAAAAATCATTGGTTCAGATGCAGCATCTGGGTACTAAATCTTCGGGAGGGTCTGAATCTTTGTGCTTTAGGATGAGTATGTTCACTCACTACCTGCCTTCTATTCTGTTTTGAACAGGCAAAATAATTATGCATGATCCCTTTGCCATGAGACCTTTCTTTGGCTATAATTTTGGCAAATACTTAGCCCACTGGCTCAGCATGGCACATCGCCCAGCTGCAAAGCTACCAAAGATCTTCCACGTCAACTGGTTCCGGAAAGACAACCAAGGGAAATTCCTGTGGCCTGGCTTCGGAGAGAATTCCCGCGTGCTGGAGTGGATGTTCAACAGAATCCAAGGGAAGGCCTCTGCCAAGCCAAGTGCCATAGGGTACATCCCTGCTGACAGCGCTTTGAACCTGAAGGGTCTAGAAGGGGTCAGCTTAACTGAACTGTTTGAGGTCCCCAAAGAGTTCTGGGAAAAGGAGGTGGAAGAAATCAAGCAATACTTTGAGGGGCAGGTTAATGCTGACCTTCCCTATGAAATAGAAGGAGAGGTGCTTGCCTTGGAGAAGAGGATAAAGCAGTTGTAGTTGATCGGAACACACTTATTTATGAATCCACACAGGCCAAAACAGGCCAAAAGTTTCAGCCAATCTTTGGTAGGAATAGCACACTGACAGGCAGGGGACTATGCTGAAAAGTAAATTCTAGTTTAGTTACACTAGAGGTGCATATTGGAAGTAAACTCCAGCCCCACCAGTTTATAACTATATCACAGTTGTACTGAATAAGTGAATGTTATGTGAATCTATGTGCACATGGCCTTAAACTGATTTAGCATCTGCATGCACAATTCTGCATACAGCTGTAATGTGCTTAAATTATTTGCACACAGTTTTGCATACACAATTCTAAAACAATCCACTCCTCAAAGGGCAACACTTTCTACTGCACAAACCACTAGAGACTGATTAATTTTTTATGTTTCAGCAGTATCAGTTACAAGAAAAAATATTGTATATATGTATTATCTAAACATATTTCATGGCTTAAATATTTTTTAGAAAAATGAAGCAACTTTTATCAGAGTGAAAGATGACTTTGTATTACTAATGTGTATTTAAGATATTGTTATTATATATGCCTCATGTTCCTGTGATTTCCAGATGTTTTGCATGGCTTGTTCTTTAAACTATTGAAATAAATGTTTATATTAAATACGACCTCATTTCCAGTGTTCTCACTGTTTATAAAACTGCATGCATGTCAATACCACAACACAGAGAATAATTCAGTCTGGGGAGTTTGCTGTCCACTGGCATTGCCTGCTACTCCTAACCAAGACATCTTTCAAGTCACATTTTCCTTGCAACTTTTATTCAAGCCAAAGAAATGATTCAAGGATTACCAGCTGAAAACAGTGATTCAGCTAGTTATGTACTTTCCCAAACTGAGTTTTACTCATTTCTTCAGGTATTTGTGAAATAAACTGCCCCCTAGAAGAGCTCTGTATGAGGAGGTAACTTCTTTCCTGAAGCCATAGCCTTTGACTCCATTCCACAGTATGTGGGTTTTTGCAGAACTGACAGAGATGCCTAAAGCCTTAGAGCTCAATGAAAACAGGATCTGAAAGAGCCTGTGTTTTCTTTTCACATAGATAAAATAAATTATCCTACGTTCTCCTGATTAAAGGTGTCCTTTACATGGTTCCCACATCTCCGGCAGGTATCATGCTTTCTCGCTTTGAATGCTTGATCTCCCCAAATATATTGCAAATATTTGTTTAACAAAAAGAAAAACTTACATTGTGTAATAAGCCTTTTTATAGGCACTGCTTCCTCACAAAACAAACAGTACCAGGGCTGGTCAACAGATGCCCTTCAGAGTTTGCTAGGAGAGCTCACACCGCCTGCAAAGCCTCTACCTACCTCCTGGCTGCATGTTTCAAAGTGGACATAAACAGTGTCATTTCTGAAGCGACTGGTACAACAGAAGTTGACAGATCTTTGAATAAATGGACAAGAGAAAGCTGTGATGAAAGCAGGGGAGCTGGGCGGTCTCTGGAGAGATGATCACCAGTGGACCTGTTTGCTGGTAGAAACCCCTCTGGATGGAAATGAGACCTATATGGTCCTCTTCAACCTGCACACCCATCAGTGACTTACTGCCAATAAAAGTCCAGGTGAAAGACTGCAAATACCATAGGAGGAAGTGAACCAGGATGGAACCAGAAGTGTTCCACACACCTTTAAGTGAAGTGTTGCCCAGATGATGTGCAAGAGCTTGGGGCTCTCCAGAGCCCTCTGAGCACCCGCAGTGTCGCTCCTGTGGCTTCTCCGTGTCAGACTCAGTCCACGTACCTGGAATACTGCAAACAGAAGGTCTCCTCCATCATCCCAGGTGGATTTGTGCTCCAGGCCCAAACCCAGCAGGCACAGGATAACTGATAACGCTGATCAGTGAGGCAGCAGATACCATCGCCCTGAGCCAACACGCCCACGATCTTGGGGCACCCACCTGCCTAGCGCTATTGCTGGTGCAGGACATTAGTGCCTAAAAAATATCAGGCCTCAGTCCCTCCAAATGAATTTCTTATTCAGACAAAACCCTCACTTTTGCCAATGGTGGCCTCGTTGTTAAAAGTTAGTGAACTTTCTTCCCTTGACCAGTTCTCACCTCAGAGGTTCTCTATCGATTTTTCTCCTGATAAACATTATTGCCACTCATGAAAAGAGGGTATTGCAAGCAATTCTGGCAAAGGTATTTAAACCATTTGCAGTTCTCTCTCCACACAATTTAACCATCCACACCTTTTCAAACACTGCTTACAGATTGATGGGCAGACAAATCATTGCAGAGAGCGCAGAAAAGGGGGAGAAATTTGTTCTGTTGAGGATAAGAACAAGAAAATAACTTTTTACATGAATCATTTAACAGCTCTTTTGTATGTAAATATATCTTTAGCCCATAAGCATCTACAGGGAATACAATTTACATTTTGAATGATCAAAATGTTTAGTATTGGCAGAGAAAATGTTTAAAAAGAGAGAAGGCGGTGGTTTAAAATTTAGAAACTTAGTCAGCTGTGCCAGATTATGATCTCAACTCCTCTGCCTCCAACAAATACCATGCTCCATAAAAACAAAATGAATTAGAACAAAATGCTTTTAAATTGAAATCTGGAAATTCCCCCTGATTTTCAAAAGGAAGAGAAGGCAACAAATGTAATAAATTTCAACAAATTAGGAAAGAAATAAAAAACTTGGCCCATTAAATGGGATTCAGAGAAAAGGAAGCACAGGAAAGACTAACAAAGTGTCCAGAGCCATAACATTTGCAGCAGCTGTGTTATGAAACACACTTGGTATTCTGGGAAGCCAGGAACAAAGTATTTTGCTAAAGCATTTGTGGATGTACTGGTGGCTGCAAAAAGAGGGACAAGGCCAAAAACTGGAATCCAGCTGCAAATGCTATCTGGTACGGCCTCCAGTACCTCATTTATCCTGCAAGTCACTGACACAAAACCACAGAGCATCCTCCCAGCCTTGACCCAAGGAGACTAAGCCATTTCCAAGTGCTAACCAAGCACTTGGTTAGCCCCATCCTTAAAACAGCAAAGAGTCCAACTCTTGCTTTTGGGGCAAAAAAATAACTTTTTGCTAACAATGTGCTAGCATAACTAGAGTTCCTGCTTTTAAAACATTTTTGACATAAAGGGAAGAGCTAATAGAGGAGTAAGTATGTGCTGCTGATATGGCAAACAAACCTGGCACAACATACAGCTGGGGAGACCACCCCAACACACAGCCCACCTGTGGGCACACTCCATGCAGGGAGGGCTCTGGTGGTTGGAGCCCTTCCCCTAAACAACCCAACTACTCAGGCAAGAGTCATAGCCTTGGTGGCCAGTGAGCACTGACAAAGCCACAGAGCTCAGATCCAGGCCTTGGTCCAGCCTTCGAACGTTGAGAAGTCTAGGTCTGATAGAGCGTGTTGAACTCAGTCCTCACGTTTCAAGGTCAAGTTTTCAACTGCTGTTGTGTCTTGTTCACTCAAAACCCTTTTTCAGGAGTCAGGCTCAGTAAATTCAGCCTGGATATATAAAATATCCACACACCTCATGGTTGAGTTAAAGCAAAGCTCAGAAGCATAAGCAAGCCTGCTGCAAAGCTCTTCTTGGAAACGAGCAGTATCCACTCCAGATCTCCTGCAACTCTGGTGGTAGGACTATTTTCAGGGAAAGAAGCACAATTTGGAGAAATGGCATTTATCTGAGAAATGCTATTTTCCACAAACCTTGGCTACCATAGTAACATGATTTATTCCATACTGGCTGCAGGATGGTCAATTAGTTCCCTAACTGAAAGACAGTTATCATAACTGCAGACGTACCTGGCTGGAGCAGCTACTGACGTGCTGCTCATGAACAGCCAAGCAGAGCCATCCAAATGAGCAGTCACCACAGCTGATCACGGAGGACGTTCCTGGCACTGGTTTATCCTCAGCAGCTACAAAAAGGGCACGTTTGTTCAATCAGCACTGGCAAAGCTCAGGCAACAAGATTCCAGAGCAGGTTCTGCCACATCCATAAACCTGCATGCAAAATAGCTAGATACGAATAAGTATAAGAAAATTGCTGTTGTCTGCCTCATGTTACACTCTGCAGTCACAGATACAACTATTGGCTGCAAAACTTTAACAGAGAAGGATTCAGCAAGCAGATAAGAGAAATCCACACAATATGAAAAAAATCAGGTTGCATCTAATCATCTCAAACATCAATATCCTTGTCTTATTTTTTTAAAAAAAAGGCGGGGGGGCATGCACCATGCAGAAGCCCCTTCAAATGCTCCTGCACAGCTGGAGGGCAGTAATGCTGCCGTCATTGCTGTCAGAGACACTGGTCACCCCTGCATTTGTTTTCCTATGGCTCACGTTGGCTCCATGGGAGTTTCTGGCTTTACAGCAGCATAAACACGACCAGAGGAAGTTTTGAGATTGAATTTAGCTTTTGCTCGCATTAAGAAGCTGTCAGCAGAACTTTCTTCACAACACATATCCCCAAAATGTTCTTTGCATTTTCTTTAAGATGTCAGATACTGCCCATTGGTGGGGAAGGCAGAGGGAGGGAGGAGGGAGGAAAAAAAAAACAAAAACAAAAACAAACAAAAAAACCTCACACACCTCTGTTTTAATTCCCCCAATGGAACATATCAAAGTTTCTGGGCTGTTTCTGTGTAGCCTCAAGGTCTTCTATTCAGCAACATAAACTTTGTGTTAAGCTGACGCTTTCCTACCAAGCTACTGATTTCCCCCCCCTTCTTTAAAGCACCACAGCACCATTTCCCAGGTTAAGATGCCCAAGAAACAGTCATTCCCAGGAACACGCTCTGGAAAACAGCTGTTCTCCAGAAGAAACAAAGCGCTTCCCCCACAGAAAAAGGCTTCCAGGCTGCCAGACCTTACCCAGCTTTGTGCATTTCTAGGGGCTTTATGTTCGTTAACCAGCCTGCACTTCCTCCCTCATAACATGGCCACAATGTAGGTGGCACAGGCGCTTCGGAGCGGTGCTGTGCGAGCCACGGACAGGGAGAGCACAACAAAACCTCGTTCCACCCGCTCGGAACCACCACCCTCCGCC